GGCGGCGTGGCGCGCGCGCCCGCCGACAGCAGCACCGGCCCCGCCGACGCAGACCCAGACGCCGAGCCCGTGTGGAGGCCCTGGTGACGCCCACAGCGCTCCACACGTTGTTATCCGTTTTCGGTTTTGGATTTGAATTTGAGATTAATGCCAGTACATTAACAGCGACATATTAAGAATGAACGTAATGAGTAATTGAAGACTTGAAATAAAACAGGGTGTAAGAGACATTTCTCTTAAATTTACGGTTTCACCCGAATAATAATGAATTAACATAATAAAACGTAAATACGTTATTTTATAACATAAATAAGAAACAAAATCCTGATGCATTTCATGATAGTGTTACGGGGTGATTATAGATGGCAAGAGTTGTATGTGCCAAAAGATTTAACGAACATATAAACTCAGTTTTCTCGAAAGTATGAAAATGGCTGTGAATTCTTTTTTTATTTCAAGCCTTCGATTTCTAGAGCGATCTACACTTAAAGAGTTTTCATTATTCAAAAAAAATAAATTTAAATGTAATATAATTAATTCGAGAACGATAAGATCGCTGAAAATATAGTATATAATGTTTGGTTTGCTGCACACGTTCGACTAATATCCCTTACACTTGACCATGACGTAACAGTAACTGTCATTAGTGGTAATGTTTTCCTTTTATTTTCGGCTCTTACGCACTAATTTTCTTCACTTACTTTCAAAAAACACATACGCTACAGGAATAATATGCAATAATATTTCTTTTCATAAAAAAACCTCACCAGAAAATAAATCAATTTCAGTTAGAACATTCTACTTGAACATTTCCATCGTCAAAAGATAAATTATTAAAATACAAAAATCCCATGAACTTATTTATGTACGAATACGTACATTGTCCGCGATGCATATTAAAGTAAGGTAGTCCAAGAGTCCCTGAATCAGAAATGTGTCGTATTTCCCCATACAAGAGCGCCTGTTTCGTCGCCGGAGTGATACCTCCTTTCTCTGAAAGACAGTGAAAGGAGCGTAGCGGATTTTACGTCACGCGGAAGAGCAGGCCACGTGGCCTGAGCATCGCCACGGAAAATAAGGCACCATTGAATTGAATTGAATACCAGAACAATGACCTTCAAGCAATGACTGAGCATCTTTTGAATGAGCATTCGAGACTTGTACTCGTATATAGTTTATTTGAATGTGAAAATACCCTGTAAAAATATTTTACTTAATATGTCGGTGCGCATGAAAAGTGACACATCTTAAAATGCTTATTTTTAAGTCAACTTAAAGATAAGTTTAGAAAGTTGTTAATTTTTCTAGTTAACATTTCAAAAAAGACAATTCATAAGACAGCCGGAATATAGAGTAGAATACTTTGTCTTTGACCGTAAAAAGAATGGCTGAGATTAAAAAAACTCTCCTGCAAAATGGCAGGTTTTTGATTAATCACTTTTTTTGTATATCGTCGATGTGTGTAAACACAAAATTAAATTTTTTTACAATTAAATTATGAGTTTTTCAAACGTTAATTTTAGTTTTGAAACTATGCAACCTGTGATATTTGTATATAAACATTTTTAAAGGAATATGCTCTTAATATAAATAAAATATTATAAATGTTAACCTGTTGAGTTAATTGTATTTGAAGATAACTAATTAGCCGTCCTAGTGCTTGTTATTTTGTAAATACGATCAACCACACATTTTTTCTTGAAAAATAAAGCATAAAAATTAAAAATACTTTTTATGCCTTCTTTTACATTTTGAATGATTTGCCGGTCAGATGGCCGAGGTCGTTAGGGCTATAGTGTCGTAGCGATCGCGGACCAGCAAGACCGCGGGTTCGAGCACCGCCTCGGCCATGGGTGAATTTGTGTATGTCTGTGTGTGTGCGCGCCGACATTTAATCCCTCACCATCATCAGTACCTACCCTCAGGGCTAACAACCTTGCGAAATAAAAATCGGGATTATGCTAAAATGCTGATCTCCCCGACCCGACTCCCCTCTCCCCACCCCAGATAGGTACCTGCACCTGCTGATGCAGGATGCGCGAGTGGTCCGAGTTGACCTATACCCGAAAAAAAATGGGGAATGATTTTAGAATAAGAATTGATGCCGAAATTTTGAAAGTATAAACCAATTATGTTATTCACACTAAGATATTCATATAAATAAAGAACTGAATCGGCACGACGACAATGGGAACAAGTCTTTTTCATTTCGGAAAGTTGTTCTTTTAGGCAAGGCAAATTGCACAGTGAAGAAAGGAATCATGTCCTAACTGTCTTTAGATTACAAATTCTAAGACCCAGTTAGCTGTACTTCGGGGGAAGGTCAAGATATCCTTATGCTCGGAAAGTGAAAAAGTAATTAATTAATTCGTCTCTTAAAGGTGGGGGTCGCTGTTGATAGAGATAAGAGAACACCGTTCCCCTGCGTATCCCAAGAAATTAAGCACTGCCTTTGGTCAATAAATGCTTCGGAGTGTGCTGCATATGCCACTGTCACAATGCCACAAAGACACTTCGCCGCTTCCAACTGCCTTTTTTATTTTACGGTTTTG